CCTTGTAGGCGAGGAACTTGTCCCTCCACTCCGGCAGCGTCTCCTCCAGGTGGTTCCGGAAATCCTTCCCAAACTTCATCCCTCGCTTCCGATTTCTCTCTCTCCGGTGGATTTCTGGATCCTGATCGAAGCCAAATTGAGGGGGACGGGAGGGTTCGAATTATAGGGCTTCGGTGGAAGAAGAGGAACAAAGGCCGGCGAATCGGGCGAGGGAGGAGACGGTGAAGAGGGAAGAGGGAAAAGAAGATGACTTGGTTTGAGATACCCACCGACGTCCCCGTCCCCGTCCCCGTCGACGTCTCTTCCTCGGGCTGCGTCCGTATTCGCTCACGGTTATACCGAGCCGTTTTGTGCGACCGTATAATATTCGGGTAAGGCACATGGCAGCTATTATTTGAAAGCAGTTTTACGTATATACCCTCTGCCAATAGCATATTTACCCCTCTAATTTTAATATTATAATCCCTCTAAATATTTTAGTCTTTTATTATATATTTCACTTTCATTCACATATATTTTCAATAATGTCAAGTTAAGTACTGATCACTAACGAGTTTGAAGAAATGAATAAAATTTTAAATACATAAAATACTCTATATTATTTTCATTGATAATTTTATTTATTAATTTTAAAATTAATTTTAAATTTAGAAAGATAAATTAAATTAGTGTTAATATAATAAAAAATATTAGTTATATATATATATTAACTTTTATATAAATTATTTTTTAGATATATTAGTTAATTTAATTAGTAAAGATTTAAATGTAATGCTTATGTATGTCCGTGTCTTTTAGTATATTCATGTTTTTCACAACATCTAAAGGAATGGTTGAAGGCTTAATAGTCCTAATTTAATTGGGTTTGATGATTATTTTAGGCTTGCAAATAAAAGTTACGTCATGTGGACAGTTGTGAGATATATTTGTTTTGTAGTTGTTCATTTTGACCCTTTGTTGTACAATCGTTTAGAGCTTATAAAATTTATTTATAATTTGCATTGGTTATGAAATGTTTTGTGAGATGTTTGCTTATGGATCCCAAGGTGCTTTCTTTTAACCCTTTTTTTTTTTTGTAAATCCTAAGGGATTATGAAAAGTTTCGAAGAGATTGATCGTTACAGACAAGGATGCCGTACGATTTAGACAAAACTAGCTAAATTCATCACATTATGCTCGAATTTAATATTTTTACTTAAGTATATATATATATATATACATATATATATGTATATATATATGTATATATGTATGTATATATATATGTATGTATATATATATATATGTATATATATATATATATATGTATATATATATATATATTGACGGTTGATTAATTACATCTTTAAAAAATTGTTATGGTACGTAAACATATTAATTAGTTGATTAAAAGAAGTGTTCAATGTTCCATATTAATTAGTTAATTAATTATTTTTCTAAATCACACTTGCATACAATTCGATGTATCACTTCTTTTCAGGAGCGCGTGTAATCGTTTGCTACTTAAATCTTATTGTGCATAGGCAGGTCAGAAATATTATAATAATTCATATAAACTAACCGAAGACAGCCATAAATTCCAAAATGGACTATGATTTCAATAGTATGAACATGTAAAGGACTTTGATGCAAATCACAAAAGGACCAATATGCAAAATATTCTAAAAATAAAGAAAGGGAAGACTTAATTATACATATGTCCTCCAAAATTAATGGTTTTCGTATTTATCTGAAGAATACATAATCTAACTTAAAATTATTATACGCCAAGGCATTTCGTCGAGCAGGACAGAGAGCAGCAACCGGTGGTTCGATCTCGGGTTAGGTTTCGACGACGGAGGCTACGTGCAGTGTCCACCGGGAGACGAAGCCCGTAAGATCCCACCTGTCCTCCACGCCGTGCGTCCGGAACCTCCACCGGTACGTCGGAACGCCCGATAATGTTTTGCGTTCTTTCGTTCGCTGGAAACATTTCTTCTTTTTTGTTGGACGTCGAGTAACGGGAGCATTTTATGGTCTGCTTTCATCCCAAATCGGACGAGTTTTGATAAAGATTCATGTTGTTTTTCTGCGAATCAGGTTTATGAGTGCGTCGTGTTTAGGTTTTGTTACTGGTGGAGACCTGATTGGATCAGGATGTTGGTGATAGTTGAGACTGTGAAGGTGAAGCTGTACATTGACCATTAGATTTCGTTCGTCTTTTGAGGAATCTGGTAAATTGCCAACGACTTAAAGGCGAATCACCCAAATTTTGCACTTCAACTGGCTTTTCAACGAGAATAGTGAATGCATCAGATCACAAGTAGACAGCTTTTTCATAATTGCTGCTTTTCTGGCTAAATTATCATGCGAGTATAGAGTCTGTAAATACCAAGGTTTAAGCTTCTTAGTTATTATGTTGTTCCGTCATCAATGATTCAACTTGGGAATATCTTGCTCTGTTAGTAGATGACTATCGATTAGGAGATGCATATGATAGGTTATCCGATGACCATATCAGAGGAAGTGCTAATCGATTAGTTGTTCTGGATATAATTCTACTTCGATTCGTTTGTGGTAAAAGTTTTGGGCTTTCGGATGGTCCTTTATTCTCAGATTGAAAAGTGTAAATTATCATGTCTAGAAAACCTTCTCATGTGGTTTTGAAAATCTTGATTAATGTGTGTGTGTTTTTTTTTTGGATTGGATGAATTGTAAGGAAGGTAAATAGGTGGCTCCTCCGTCCGGATCGAGGGAACGAGATAATAATTCAAACAATTCATAGAGCCTCGGAGACCCTGATTTGGTTAGTGGTATGCGAAGCAGCGAATATGAAGTTGTTCAGTGTGAGGATATGATTCATGGAGCATTCGGTTCGATCTCATATCACATAATTCATTATGAGGGTCTGTTTTATTTTCCATGTATTGCTTGTTTGCCAGAGATGCGACTTAGAAGTGGATTGATTGCGGGAACTATTAACTATTTATCGAAGATGTAAGAGCCAATAACTGGGAGACGGTCAAACCAACTTTGATCATCTCAGGATCACTTCATCTTCTTACCTGCAAGCAAGATGGTGCTGTTGCTAGCATGCTTATAGATGCATGTAAGGAGTTAGGATGCTCTTCAGACCTGCATTTGCAGGATCCTCATTCGCTGAGTTTGCCATTTCAGTTAACTTGCCATATGGTTGTACATGTTAGCTAGGAGATCTATGTTTCTCTGTTGTCTTTCTTTAACAAGTTCTTTCTTCAAAATGCTTGACATGACTCCGGATATGGTTGCTGAAGTTGGTTTTCTCGCAGAGCAACAGTGAATACGGAAGGGCTAGTTACATCCTTGGGAGATGTTATGCTGCTTTAGTGAAAGCATGGGCTATCACAGATTGGCTGCTGACCTTGTTATTACCAATTCAATCTTGGAGGCTGATTCTATTCGAGTTCTGCACTCGGTCTAGATCGGGTTGCTTGGGGCTATGGACCATTGTTCACTACTGCTTTGATTATTTAAAGACATATGTAAATATCATGTTTTTGTCATGTATGGAATGAAGTAAAAATAGGTAGGATTTGTCAGCTAATTTTGGGATTCTGTCCCTTGGAAGCATATGGCTGCCACTGTAAACACTGATGTATCTAAAACTTGGTTTTACATGAATGAATGTTTTTAGAAAAAAAAAAAGAGGGTTGATATTGCTGTAAAATTTTCAAGATATTGTCGCTTTTTAAATGTTCGTAGATTGTATTCTGATTGGTTGAGTCCGAAAATAAAAACCTGATTATGATTACAGAATTTCAGCAGTTTACGTCGTTCCAGTTATCTTAACGTCTGCAAAAACGCTATGTAAGGATTTAAGTCTCATTCTATCTGTATATTGAGCAGTGTACCGACTTATGTTGTCCCATATCATTGTATAAAATAATAAAAATACTAGAAATAAATGATTTCCCACAATAATTAAGTAATCAAAAAGTTGATTCTTAGAACAAGTTGGTTTTTAGGAATCCTGGAAGTTTCAGGAGGCCACGTCCCAAATCTTCCACCATACTTCACCTTTCTCTATATTCTCTTATCCTTCCTTCACTGCACGCGTGCGTATCTCTAAGAGACATGACCTCAAAGAAATGCTTATCTTTGTGTCATGTGCATCAACTTACCCATATAAATAAATGCTATCTGTGATGCAGCAAACAGACCTTCAGCTTCATGTCTTTGAATAGGTAAAAATTCGATTGAAATCATTGTTTGAGACATCATTTCTTTTTATCTCTGATGTTTGATATAAAAAGTTATTCCAGCTAAGATGAAAATAATCACAAGCTTTGTTCTTCAGAAAATATTTAGTGATTTACCAGTCACATTTTGCTGAAATTTATTATCAGAAACTGATAGGTTAATTGAAGTGTCATTTTTTTTTTCTTTTCATTATTCCTACAAAAACAGATCTTAACTTCATATTTGATGCATTCATTCCCTGCAAAAGGTAGAACTGCTTATCGCTTATTTTCGCATACTTGAGGGGTAAAAAAAAAAAGATTAATTTATATGTTATTTTGTCAAATCAAGGTTTAATTAGTGAGAAAAAAAACCTGTTTTATTCCAAATATATTTGCTTAAAATTATCTTTCATTTTCCCAAGCAGTAGTCTTATGCAAATTTGCCTTCTTCCTCAATGATAAGTAGAACAAACACACATACTTTTAGTTGTATTTTGGCAATGCATCATTGTTTTCAAATTAGATTATTTACGTGACAGATGAGTTTTGCATGAGAACCTTTTTCCCTGCTATCATCATCATCATCATCAATCCAAAGAACTTCCTTAGGTCAGATGACAAGCAAGCTATTCATACAGTGAGATGACAAGCATTTGATGTTGATAGCCAGATGTTGTTCAACTACGTGGGTGAAATGGAGCTCTTTGTCTTCGCTGGGTCTGAAAGTGTGCGAAGCTCAAAGCATCATGCAGACCTCCGTGCGCACAGTTAGGGTTAGAATACTAAACTTGGATGGTGCAGTTGAAGAAGACGACTCTGCATTATTACTCGCACATTACAGGCAGCAACAGCAAGAACAGGAGGAGGAGGAGGAGGAAAGGAAGGAGACATGAGAACCAACACACGGTATGTAATCATCCTCAGAGCCACAGAGCTCCAGCATCTCTCAGCAGCGGCACCAGATCCCCACCCAGGTGCAGCGTCATGATCTTCTCCGTGGACCCAACCAGCTGGCCGCCGATGAACACGGCCGGCACCGGCGGCTTGCGCCCCAGCAGCCTGGCGAGGGCCTTCTCCATTTCCGGCCCGCTCGGGTCCTCGTCGAGCTCGTGGACGGCAGCGCTGACGCCGAGCTCATGGAACAGGCTCTTCACGCTGTAGCAGAAGCAGCAGTTGCTCCGGCTGAAGACCACCACCGCCCGTTGCGACGCCAGCTTCATCACCTTGTCCATCCTTTGATGTAATGCTTGTGGCTTACCTCAGAAGACTTGAACTTGACTTGTGCTGTCTGACGTTGGTGTTTATATAGGAAGAAAAGTCGATCGGTTTGGAACAATTCTAGTCATGATCGGTAGATATTTGATGATGCATGCTCTCACTGCAATGATCCGAAAGGGACAGTAGTATCTTTCTACTAGTGTGTAGATCAAGTTGGGTCGTGTACTTTCTTCGAGCCGAGATGAACAGATAAGGCAGGCATCAGTTTCCGATGCCAGGAAGTATGAATTCTCTCTTTTCTCATTAGCTGACGACTCCTGCAGACCTTTTTGAAGGGTTACATACATGGAAGAGCATAAGCTTTGCTGTTTGGCGAAACCGTGTCCTATGATATCCTGCTTTTGCTCCCCTCCAGTCTTCCAAGCTTCACTCTCGTTGTTTCCTAACATGAAAGCGGAAAGACATGAGAAGCATTGACTTGTATCTCGAGCATCTTGTAAGATGAATGTCATGTAGGTTTACTGAATGCAGACAATGTTTCTTCCGCACCAACAAGCAGACCAAGCTACATCAGAGACATGCCAGCCTTGCATCGACAGTATGACCTCTCTGCAAAACCCATGCTAGACTTCAAGCGAAAGCTTCGGTTTGTGCATGCCAATCCTAAAGTGACGATGCTTAATCCATGGAAAAGAAACAGAGGGCCAAAACCAGCGAAAGCAACGGGCCGTACGGCGTCTCTGTGGTGCAGACACAGGGAATTCTATCCGCATCTGCTGCTTCACCATCCTACATTTGAGAGAGAGAGAGAGAGAGAGAGAGAGAGAGAGAGAGAGAGATGAGCTGCTGCTGTTGAAGAACCTTGAGGTTGCATCATGGAGGCCACGTTACAAATTGTACTAAGCTTTTCCTTCCTCTTATCCTTTGACTTGGGTATCTCTGAAAGGTATGATCGGAAGAGATAAGCCAGCTGCTGCCGAGAAGGGAAGAACAAAGAATCTTCCAATCTGTCCATACCCGTACACCACCACCGGCATCGCTACATCGGTTGCAATCAAATCTTTGATGCTGCCGGTCAGTTCTTGATGCCTCTTTTTATCTTGGATAGCCGGCTATGTAGATAAGGATTTTTTTTTTTCGCGTGGATAAAATGCATCTGTAGTCCCTGCAATTTGTGCTGCTGATGTGAAAGAGATGACATAGACGCTCGAAAACCTTGTCCGTTTGCGGCACGTCGAATTCTGCAAGAACAACATCTCTAGCAATGGATGAAGAAAGGTGAGGAAGGCTTGAGGATGCTTCCACGCGCGAGATAAGAGAAAGTCCCTTTCGCCTCTCTCATTTATTTGCATGTGTGAAGCTGCTGTTAAGTAGCCTTTGGGCGTTCGTGGAGCCAAAGATGGCCCCTCGGAATAGCATCCCCTTGGCATACTGTTCCTGCCCGATCAAGATTGGCGACGCTGTGAAGGTATCCGAAGGCAAAGACTTGGCTCCGCCATGGCCACATCTCGAATTCCCATAAAAGGAAATGAGGAAGAAGATACTTAAATCTCCCTTTCACTAAATCGCAGATTTGGTTATCGTGTGAGCCATGACGATGCCAAGAACAAATCACTGTGCAATGACGAGACAGAGTATTCTTTGCTTGGCTGATCCGGTGATTCATTCGAAGAAGGTGGGTGAGTCATGGAATAAGGCTTTTTCTGCAAGAGGAGCCGACCAAATGCTTATAAGCTTTACTGTGTGGTTTGCGGCAACCAGCAAACACTTTGATGCAGAACCTGGTGTTCTTGGGATCGAGATTTGATCCGCCATATCCCAGTTGGTGACATCCCATTGCGAAGTATCAATCTTCATCAAAGCATGACGACAAATGCTAGACATCAAAATCACTGTTTCTTCGATTTGATCTGTATGTACGCACGCTGGCCATTCTTAGCTCCTGCATCACTGTAAATGTCAAAGATTCATGTTAGCACAGGAATGTTTAGTCCAAGGAAATCATCCACATATTCTTAGAAGATATTGAGGATGACAAAAGCTCGATTGCCAAGGAACCATGAAGAGATTGAGATTGAGAGATGTCACGTCCCTAATATTTGAAGATCTTAGCTATGGTTTCCAGCCTAACTCCAAAGTGAACACTGTCATTCTCCTTCCTTCACATGTCCCTCCGTACCTGAACCCAGCTATCTCACACTGCCTTCGAGCTGCACCATCGAACTTTGACTTCCATCTCTCGGTTTGCGTCTCCGGCACCGTTGAAGGCAGTGGTGGTCTTCCCTTCGAGCTCATGCTGCGTGTGCCCATGCCATCGAGATGCTCTCCTACGAGCTTGATGTTAATTGTTCTGTCCATCATCTCATCAAGCTTCCTGTGTTCATTGGTGGCAAAATTGTTAGGTCTACTGAGACAGGATCATGATGTACCTTCACATTGGCGGCAGATTAGCTCCATGGCTTTACTTCCTCCATGCTTTAGCATCTTGAACATGAGCACCACTTCAGTTGGCTGTCGTTTGCTTGGTGAAACATCTATTGAACATGTCTTCGACTAGTACTGATCACATCCTTCTAGGAAATATTGGAAACAGCAGCTGAACCAAACCCAACATGAATGTTAAGCAGGAGGGTGACTACCATTTCAAAGGTCAATCAATCTGGCAGGCTTAAAGTCAACTCTTATAGAAAAATGGTATTTAGTTAAGTCCTCACTTTTGAATTTAATCTATTTACAAATATTGCAAATCTCGAGCAAGATAACCAATGCCATCATCAATCTAGTTTTTGATAGGTAGAAGACTACAGTACATCTAATTTTAAGGTTTTAACTACAATAAACCATCAGAACCAAGAAACACATTATTATGCATAGTTGAGCATTCTCGGCAAGCATAGAACAGCAACACTAAAAACAGAGCAGCAAAGGAAACCAATGAAAGAGTTGTGATAGCTGATCGCCGGTGGCATCAAACCATGGCAGTAATAATGCTGCTCATAATCACATTCCTTTGCAAGCACAACTTCATATTAAATTAAACATTAAGATACACCAACCAATATTTACCTTAAACACATTGGTTCAAAAGGGGGTGCATATATACATTCTTCCCATGAACACAATGAACTTGATGATGTCCACTATATACAGGCATATAGCCATCAACACCTATTTTACGAGCTTTGGTTGGGATATTTTACCGATGAATGAATTCTACATGGTGCTGCGACTGGTATCTGGAGGTGAATTTAGTTTCAAATGTGATGGAGTAGAAGGATCCCTGGACAAGATGATGCCACCATTGTACTCTATATAGTATTGTAGAACACTATTATCCATCAACATTCTACAAGAGCCCCATGTATCAGCTTGTAGTTCGACACCATAATACTTAAGATGGTCCCATATACTTCTCCCGTAAACAGATCTATTGAAGACAAAGCACAATCATTGATATAACTGAAAATATTTGCTATAAAACTTGGAAGGAACATAAGTACCTGCAACAAGAAGGGTCTTCTCCAGATTCATCACAAATCTTCTCCACCATGTCTTCTAGGCCATCCACTTTAATGTCACGAAGCCATACCTGAAATTGTTTTGAGATAAAAAATGATGCCTTTTGAACAATACAGCATAGAAGCTTAAATCAATCAGGATTATGAAAGTTTGTGAGAGAAAAAGGAAAAAAGATGGCACACATAAATGGAGGTTGAACTTTCATTTGTAACCTAAACTGGCTACAGTACAATTTCTTGGCAGGATTTGACCAATTAGGAACTAATTTTAAGTAACTCTTGACCAGCGAGTTTGATCTGATCTTGCTCTGGTAACTCGAATGAGGTTTAGTTAAACAACCACAATTTCTTCTTCAGGTTTTACAACACAAATTAGAGCAAATATACTTCCCAGTCCATGAGTCACGTCTGGTCCCAAGTTGAACATATGGTGTCATCTGCAAACCTCTAGTGAAACATATCATAGAAAAGGTAGATAAATCTTAAGAAGGTGATTTGCAGTTAAGAACTTATGGCATTGGAGCCAGAAAAATTAAACTAAAGGCAAAAAAATGCTCAGGTACAACATCGAGTGATGTCATCAAACAAGAATTTGGGAGACAACATGATTTAACTTCTTTGACTTTAGTTATTTTCTAACATTATGTGGGACAACTTCAAACAGAGTATACCTCTCTTGGAAAATGATGGTATGTCTTTTGTGAGAAATAGGAGTAATATGGTGGCAAGTGTGGCACTATATCATTCTCATGGGTCACACGAACTGCATCTGCAACATGTTTGTTGAAGTAGGTGGCAAAAGCAGCATTTCCTATGCGAGGCTGTCCAAAGGTCATAAGCTGAACATTTTGTACTCCATGGTTGACCTAAAACAAGAACAAATCCTGTTACATCAATATCAACTAGTAACGCTGCATTTGTAGTCAACGATATCATCTAATAATGCCAATTACTAAACAAGATTTTTCTGAGGCAAAATAACTATACTAGCATTAAATGCTATAATGATTATCCCTGCTAGCCTTCTAAGCAAAGAAGCAAATTCATCAAAAACATCCTTATGCAGCTAATTGACACAAGTACAGGAGCTAATTTGGCACATAATTCATATTTTTTGAAAATTTTCAAGACAAAAGTCCAGCAGATGCATACAAGTAATCTCCTGAAATTCAGTTCACATTTTCTATCACAATAAAAGAGAGGCAGAAAGATGAAAAGATGATCATTCCAATTTTAAATGCATGGCTGTATATGAAATATCATTTGCATAGTTTGCAGATCTGCTGTCAGGCTTGGATGTCTATTAGCTGAATGCAAATGAGAAATTTTGGTGGCACTTACAGTAAGATCGAGTGCACAAAATGATGCCAGAGCCCCTCCCAACGAATGCCCTGTAATAATTATGTGGATTTTTCCATATGACTCCTTAATCTTTCGAACAGCACTTAGAATCCCATGACGCAGAGTAGTGTTGTGGTAAGAAGAATAAAACCCATGGTGCACCTACAGTGTCAACAATGGAGATGAAGATGACTAAAAGGTATGTTCACCAATTGTAGGTTCAAATAAACAGAGGGAACATTGCATACCATTGCACCTTGTACACCTGGGTAATTCAAGTCAAGTTGCTTCCAGAACAAATCCTCAATCCAATTCCTCATACTGTAAAAAGACAGTAAGTCAAACTGCATCTTCAACTTCACTGATCAGAAAAGATTTCACAGAACATTATACATATTCTTTACAATTACAAGATCTACAGATATTGCAATTAGTTCATTCACCATAGATCCATTCTTCATTGTCTGAGTCCGAATGATCAAGGATAAAGATTGCATGTAATATTTCCCGAGCCCTTATGCACATGACATGGCACATAATAAGGTAACTAACAGACCTAATCATATTGTGGATTAGCATATAATCATTTCTTATTCAATGGCACAACAAAGAGCACACAGTTGTGCCGTATATCACCTCCATCGAGGTGTGGTATTTAGTGTCCCATAGACAGCATGGTACAGAGACTTCCATGTCAATGATGGCAAAAAAATTTGCATTCGAGTACATGTATTGAGAGACATATACCAAAGTCATTAATTTGTTACCCAAAACGTCCATGCTAGAGCCATCCATGTCCATTCTGATGTTTACAGCATAATTATAATAGATAATAAGATCATAAATTAGGTTTCTACCTGTTTTCAATGGTGCCTCTGAATGCAATAATGATGGAATTCAGATCATGAGCAACTCCCACAAATGCCTACATAAGAAGTTTCATATACAAAAGAACAAGAAGAAATTTCTCTGAGTCGTGTAGCAGATGTATTTGAGTTTAACATATATACGCTCCTGAAAGATGTGAATCCACCTGTAAGCAGTTCTGGACATCAACAATCAGTTCTAGCATCTCAAACCCCTGTTTTAATTCATACATCCAACATTAGAAAGACGGAGTCTTGTCAAGAAAGCTCATCAAGCAAAGTCTACCTTTCATTATTGCAAAAACACAAATGTGAATGAGTAACCGTCTGTTCTTTTTACCTTCGTCAAATCATTACACCTTGAGCAGGTCCATGTGAATAGTGCCGTCAGATCTGTGATGTAAGCCTGCAAGAGGCAATTAAACTTGCAGGTCATAATATTCACAAATTAGATGCAGAACCTTGATGACTAACAGGAAGAGGTTCTGAATGTCTTTGTCTTGTCTGTTTTAAGATCAAAAACTGAAAGCCAAGGCTTTAAGTATGTTTTATATACAATGCTATCTTTATTAAAAAGGATCACTTAGTTTATAACGTTTCTGTGAAAAGCTTTCAACTTATAAAAATTTCAGAAAATGAAAAAAAAAAAAAACCTATTCCTCACCAGTAAGAGTGAGTCAATTTTTGGTAGGGCTATCCAACAGAATTCACTTTCATGGCATCAAGAAAATTGCACAAACACAATTTTCCTTCATGCTCTTTGGCTCCATAAAAACAGATAAAGAACATATTATCCTAATTAGTCTGATACTCTAGGAAATGCAGCACATCCTATGTGGCTATTGAGAAAAACCAAGTGTCTGATCAGATGTCTGATCATACATAAATGGAACTATTAGCACAGATAAAAATATTTGTTTCCATTATCAAAATCTAAAATTGTGTGAGGAAGCAACACATGATCAAGGTTATACTCACAGCAGAAGCATACTCCACGAGCATCTTAGCTAGAGTACGGTTGTAGAGAGAAGCCCCATCCTCATCGGCAAGTTTAATTTCTGTTAACCATCACGAAGAAAGGTCAAAATACTACCACACAGAATAAGGGAATTTCGAGCTAGTAAGTTCTGCTCTTTTGAGTTTGAAATTGAGCAAACCACATCTAATTACTTGAATTTATCAGAGTTATCTAACGGGGGACATAGATTGATTTATAAAATAGCAAAAGGATCAGTAATTACCTCTTCCCTCGGAAAAGGCAAACAATCCAATCAAAACCAGCAACTTTAACCACGGCCTTCGGGCCATAACCCTTCGACAAGGTTGGATTCCTACACGAAACTGGACAAAGATCAAGCCTTTCCGCGATTCCCCAATCCGTAGTTCAAAATTTCTGGGAAAAGGAGCTGGAAATCTTGAAATCGATTCAAAATCGAAGCTGCAAGGGAACAAGGATGCGGAAAAGACGTGCAGCTTCCGATGACTCGAGATCTTTGGATGAGCTGAGATCAATCACGTCGAAAATTCGAGGGTTTCTTCCCCTTCTTGTCTTCGATCTGCCAGCCCCAGATGCACCTCTCGTCCTGCGAGTCAACGAGAGGAGTGACCGTGCTGCCGTGGTTAATGTAAGGGACAAACTACTCCGGTGGTCACCAGCTATTTCACACAACATTGGAGCAGGGCCCACCATGGGACCCGCAGGAGCTGTTGGACTTTAAAATTTGGTAAAAATTGTTTGGAAGATTATGCCAAATTTACCAATTATTTTCCTTGAATTCACCAATTTGCATGCAGTCTTCTGTCATTGTGATCCAAATTTTCGTGACTTGATTTATATATTATATACAAAAATAAAAAGATAGAAAAAATATTATATCTATAAATAAATATATTATAAAAAAATAGAAAAACAAATCATATTTCTTAGGACTAATTAATGTATAATTACTCCGTTCCTAATACGTTCGAAGCACGAGGGTGTCTTGGTCATTTAACACGACCGTCCCTCCCTCAACAACTTTTGACCGTCCGATCCTATGTAAATGCGACAGCAACTTTCGATCCGGGTGGTCCATCTTCAGTGTATGCACCCTCGCTCTCTATTACACGGCGCACTCCCATCGTCCCTGCGTTTCGTGCTCGCCGCCGATCTCTCGCTCACTCTCCTCCACCTTTCATCGACCCATGGCTTCTCTCGCTGGGACGACGATCTCGATCGCCTCTCGCCCGTGGCACTCGTTGCAGGTAGTGATCTCTATCGATCTGCCGCCACCTCGAGCTGATCTTGGATTCTTCGTTTCTTTTTCGAGGGCTTGATTGGTGAGGCTGACGTTTGCGGTTTTAGGAGTGATCGGATGAGTGGACGTCGAAGAAGATTTTCTTATTCGTGATTTCGAACTATAAATCTATTTCTGTTGCCTGATCATAGCAAGATCTTCTTCATTGCGCCCGGTTTCGTGGTATCTTCGAATGATCGGATCAAGCGTCTGATCTGATTTTTCTAAGTCAATTTCTGGGTTATTAAGTTGATTAGGACACCAAGTTAGTGATGATCTGTAGGCCTTGTGAAACATTATTTCACTGAAGTTTGTTAAAAGAAGATAAGTAATGGAAAAACTTTTCATATCGTCTTTATTGGGTACTGAGATTAAACGGTGGGAATGGTGATCGGCTGAAGGAGCTGCACCCAAGTTTTAAGGAAATTGGACACCAAGGAGGCTTACTTTTCAGGGTTTTGCTTTTGGGATATCCTATAGTTTGTTGATTTGTAATAAACTTCAGTTCAAGAATAGGGTTCTGCCCAATAATTGTCTTTTTTTAACTTTCCATGATCTTACAGTAGCATCTTAAGACAATCATTTGATGACTACTTTTTCAAAGTCGCCTATTAAAATTTAGTTGCTTTTAATCTGAAGATCAGACTGCTGGACTTTGTAAATATGTATAAACTGTCTATTGATGTCCTGAGGAAAACACGCTTGCAAAATGACCTTATTTGAATAAGAAAGCTACTGATTTGGCAGTTCCATGGCTTTGCCTGGTTGTTGGTTGCATCATGGATTTGTTCCTTCTATAATATATAATATTTATGATGGGGTACACATATCCAGAATGGGCTCTGGAGGTGGATTCTAGAGTGAATATTATGCTGCATTAGTCATTGCCTGAATTATGAATAAGATTGGGAAGGGCGTGCCCCTGTTCTCTATAGGAGAAGTGAAGATCACTTATGTTATTATTGCTACACAAATGCAAGTTTAAGACTTGTGGTAAAAATGTATTAGTCTACAGATTTATATCGGTCAGGTCAAAGATAAGTGTGGCACCCTAGACGAGATATGAATTAAATCATCAAAGATGTGAAAGCAGGCAATGGAGAGATAGTGATTGACAGATATGAAAGCAGGTCACAAAAAATTTCATATCAAACTATTGGTTGATTTTTCTCTGTTCTGTGATGAGTTTTATCTGCTGTGAAAATTATCCAGACACGATAATACAAGGTTTATGGATGGTTTGCAGGCTGCTAAAGAGTTTTCTAGTCTCAAATCAATTTCTTTTTCCAGCATAAGGAAGAGTTTTCCAGCTATCCGATTGCAACCTGCCTCATCACGCCTTCAGATTTGTTGTGCTGTATGTATCTTTTAATTATGCAACTATTGTAGATTTTTATTCTTACTGTTTTTGAAGTGGCTGTCATACATTATACTCTTGCAGTCTTCTTGGTTTGAGAACACATTTGTACAAAAAATGTTGGAGAAGGAAAGGGTGAAAGAAAGAGCAGCATGTCAGTCTGATCTAGTTCATAGATATCTGTCTGGAATGTGTGATACAAAAAGTAAAATACATGAAAAGTTCTAGGTGCATAGTGCTTAAGTTTTGTTTTAACAATGTAGCATAAATCTGGCTGTAAAGTACTAACAATGAAGAATGTGCATTAGCTCTCACTTTGACCAAATTATGAAAGCCAAATAGTAAACTAAATGTACTCTACTTTTTTACCTTGTAAACTAGAACAAGATTATTGTTTAGTTTCTGCTGACAAAAAAAAGGGAAATCCAAGGACTACACTGTTTCAAGAAAGAATAACACATGCAGTTAAGGGCCTCTTGGTTGCTGGAAAATAACGTAATCGATTCAATTAGTTTTAAGACACTGGAATGACAAAGCTTCCATTTTACTTGGATATAAATTTATGAGCTAAAAGAAGTCCTGCAGTTGCTTCATCTATTGTTTGACTGCTGATCAGAATGCATGAAGAGCTCCCCATTTTAGCTGTTATTATTGCTTTATAATTGTAATTTATTGATTTAAATGATTATTTGCCAGCATCCTAGCTCATACCAAGTCATGAAATAGACTGAAGGGCTGTCTTTTTTAATAGGCCAAGTCAGATACTCTGGAGAAGGTGTTGAAAATAGTCAGGAAGCAGTTGGCAGTACCAGAGGGCACTGCTGTTATTGCAGAATCAAAGTTTTCTGAACTTGGTGCTGATTCTCTAGACACGGTATCTTGTTTTCCCTTGACATTACAGATTCAGAAAGTACCACCGAAATGACACAGAATTTTAACTAGTTTCAGTCTTCCATAGCTACTAATAACATGTGTATTATGTGGTGGTTGTTTAGATTTTGCCTTCAGCATGTGGTCCAAGATTGTTGATTTGCAAACTTGTAGTTTGATTATCGAACCGCATTAGCATATTCAAATCCCCAAGTAATATTCAATATTTATTTTTTAAAACAATTTTCCACTTCATGTAGATGAATTATATCGTTGAAGTCCTGGGCTCTTGATTATGTATACAGTACCCTAACAACTTTCCCAGGATTCATTGAAACTAAGGGCTTATCCTTAAGATTCTGTGACTTTGGTAATATGCATCTTTTGGCATAGATTTTCTCCTGATGTAGGTCATGACTACTCATGGATCTTGATGGCACCGATCTAATTTTTGTTCTGTTTCAACTGTAGTGATATGTTCATTTGTTTGCTGAATTTACCTGAGGTATTGCCATTGTGGAATTTCTTCTCATTATCTTGTGGAAAAGTGCCAAACAATTCTCTTTACGCATTTCAAAATGTAAATATTCTCTCAAATATGCAGGTCGAGATTGTGATGGGTCTCGAGGAAGCATTTGGTATCAGCGTGGAAGAAGAAAGTGCACAGAAAATCATCACCGTGCAGGATGCTGCCGATCTGATCCAGGAACTAGTGGAGGCAAAGTCTTGTTAATCCGATAGAAATGTGTTCCGCCACAAGTTTCTGTAGCTTAGTAAACTTGCTCTGCGTTGTTATCGTTATAATGTACTGCCAGAAGTAAAGCATGAGACTGCTAGCAAAACTTGGTCATGTGCTTCTTTTGGTCATCAGTCTTATTAAGTTAATTTAAGCAACTTCAACATTTTTGTGTTTTTTGATGAACTAATACTCAGATCTCATATTATGTTGTGTTCTATTGCCAGCGTAGTGATTTCGTTGGTGATTTATGCCGATTTATGCCTTTCTGGTCGATATAATTGCTGAAACCATTTGTTGATATCTTGATGAATTTTGTTCTATTGTAAGGACCAACATTAAATGGGGATTATGTATACGTATATATTAAAGAATATCCAGTAACTCCTAATAATTTCTTTACGAATTATTATGTGGATAAAAATGTTTTTTTTTTGTCTTTGGGGTGAAGTACAATGATTGCTAAAGTTTTAAACAAATTAGATTAGAATATCAGACTTATTACCTGTTAGAAGTGAGTCTATAATTCTTTTAATAATTTCAAGGGTTAAGGTTTATTTTTAGTCGATGTAGGTTTGATCATCAACTATTTAAATTTTTATAATTTGCTCATGTTTAAAATAATTTATATATTTTTAAAAATATAACATATAAATTTTTTTTATTAAGTTTGAATTAATAAATAATATTAAAGTTTACTTACGTAATATATTGATGCATAATAAATTATTAACATAATGATATATAATTTAAATTAAAAAAATTTTAAGATGGTTTTGGTCATGGATTACTTGCCTTTATGGTTTATCTATGCCTAAAATAATTCGTATATTTTCAAATACATAGCATATAAAGTTTTTCCGTCAAATTTGAGTTAACAGACGTTAGATTTCGCTTATGTGGCATGTTGATTCATAATAAACCATTAATATAATGATACATATAATTCGAGTTTTAGGAAAAAAATCGAAACCTTCATCAACGATGAGATGAGGCGTCGTTATGGAAATAACCACCAGCAATAGTATCGAGTTGCTATTGCCTAATAGGGTATTGTATGCATGCAATCTCTCTCACACTGATGACGAGCTTAGAAGTTTCTAATCCTACCTTAGGTAGTTATTTGTCGAATACTTTGATGCTAGACACATAGTGGTATCATATACTTTCTTCCTCCTCCTAGGCGTCATCGTCCCCACCACATCTCACTTCATCGTCTCCAATGTCTCTATCTCTATCTCACCTTCGCTTTCGACCTCTTCTATCTCTGCCTCTCCGTTTTCGTCCACCGCTACGACCTCCCTTGTTTCCTCTTTCTTGACAAGACATAACTTAACCATTTTTTATAAAAATCGGAGATGCTTCTGTTTTTTAAAATATAAAAATTATTTTATTCACATAAATCGGAATCGATGATTACCGGTTCTCAAGCCTGGACTGTTGGCGGATCGGGTTTGGATGAGGCACGGACAGCCTTCCGCATGATATAGCCCAAGCTCTGCCTCGACCCGACCCGACCCGACCCGTTTTCACGTCTACTGGGCCCCACATTGATTGCGGCACCTCCATCTTTCCCTCCGCCTTCTTCCCATCGCTCGAGATTGATCTTCTCCTCTTGCTTTTATATTGCATTATTGCTCAAACCCTTCTTCTTTCGTCGTCGTTTCCGATCACTCGCTCTCTTTCTAAGATCGCACTTGTCACCACGGCGGAGTCCAATCGGCACTCCAATCGACATGGTTTCCGCCGCCGGCTGCGACGACGAGGAGACCCAGGTCTTGGATCTTGATTCTACGGCTCCCGGTAATTGCCGTAATTTTTTTCTTCTGCGAATGATTGGACAACGAAATTTGTAATTTTTTTCTTGTGTTTTCGTCTTGTGATGTTGATTTGATAGTTTGGTGAGGATTTCACTTCTTGCAGGGGAAGTCCCGATCTTGTACGGTGAGACTGAAGCCCTAGATGGCTCCGATAGTTCTGACGGCGAGGGCGTTGGGGGGATTGATCAGCGGGGAAAGACGCAATTGGTGAATGAGTATGAGGATACCGCTGTGGTCGACAGTGGCGATGAAGAGACGGATAGGACCGAGGTGCTCAGTGGTGACGACGAGGGTGTTTTGGATGATGGTGCTACCCGCTGCGGAGATAGAGAGGATGATGCAGGTGATGCGTTCGGACCGGAGGTCTTAGAGAATGGAGGAAACTCAGGCTTGGCAGATGAAAAGAAAGTTGATATGGTTGATTCTGATGCTTCCACTGATGATGGTGGTGGTGATGATGATGATGATGATGATGGGGATGCCGGTAGGTTTCGATTGTATGCCTTCTTATTTGAGCAAATATTATGATTGCGACTTTTAACCCAACGAGCTGCTTCTTTGGCTGCCTTGCCTTTCCTTGCTTTCCTAAGTGCTGCAACAGTGATTGCTATATTATCTTATATGTTTCCTGAGTCTGGTTGTTTTGAGTGGTTGCTGTGACACTAATCTTCTAATAAGCTGTCAATGGCAAGCTATATTATTCATCTTTCTTCTTTAAGTTTTCTTTCCTAAGAATGTATAGACATATGATCCTGCTTTCACATGATCAAGACCTATCTTGGTGTCTTTTGCTGACGGAAACCATGTCATGCATTGAGTCTTTGTTATCATCCTTCTTAAATTAAATAGACCCTTCCCTAAAGTTTTTTAAGGGATCTCACTGTCAAAGGTGGGTGATATCCAGGGTTTCAAAGGCTTGAGGCATGGGTAAGGGAACAGAGAAATAAGCAAACATTCAACTCGAGTCAATTCCAGATGAACAGGTAGGTTTTGAACATAGTTTTCAGGGGTTCTTGATAGTTCTTATTATTTTTTTCAGGAGTCATGACTTTCATGCCTTCAGTAAAGGTTATGGTTGTTATTCTTTAGGGAAGTAAAAAACTAAGTGTGTATTTCAAAAAGAGATAATGGTTATTAAAGCTGGTTAAAAGATTGTTTATATCTTTTCACTCATTTCAGAAAGATTGGAGCATATTTTCTCTTAGGCCACCTTTGCTGAGGAAGTTTGGAGTCACATTATGTATAACTTGAATATTGAGTTCAGAATTTTTTGACAATTTGGGTCAAGGGACACTAGCTCAAGCAGATGATATGGATACTTATCCGAATATGATCCTAAGGGCTTTGGGTTGCCAGCACATTATGGCTTATTTGGAAGGACCATAACGAGGCTCTCCATAATCACAGTCCTAATAGACCTTCTACCATGTATACAAGGCTGCAACTCATACCTTTGACACTATGGACAAACATAGGTTTGAATGCAGGAAGGACTAATGAGATATGTCAATTGCAGGGGTCAAATTAAATGTGGATGGCTCTTGGAGTGAATAACACCAAGAAGTGGGTACTGGTTTCGTCCTGAGGAATTGCCATGAGAAATGGATAATTTCTGGGGTGATTTTTACCAAATAGAATTAGTCTAATGTGCAAATTGTTGGCTTTGAAATAGGGCTTGGAAGGAGAAATCAGATACCTCATAATTGAATCAGATGTACTGAATGGCAGAACCAAACCCCCCTTGGTGTACATGGAATGTTTTTAAGGACATTAAATGGCTAATGTCCAAATTTACAAAAGTCAATATAGTACACATCTATAGGGAAATAGGCAGTGTGGCTAATTGGATAGCCAAATTTGTAAGGTCTAATTGATCCACTTTTTTGTGGAAGGATAACTGGCTTATACAATTATCGAATGTTTTGACCTCTGACGCTAGATGTGTCTTCTGTAATCGGCTTTTAAGTTAATGTTTCATTTTTTCTGAAAAAATAATTGACTTCTAGTGATACAGATACATCTCACTGGACCTTAGTAGCAATGTCTAACTTTCACCATTCAGACTAACATACACTGAGTTTCAAGCCATGAGTATGTGGCCCATATGCTTTATGTATGTGTTGTATCAGATGTGGCTTGGGATTTGGAAAGTGAAGTTTATGCTTTCTTTTGCTGGTGACATCATATTTCCGCAGTTGCCTGTTTGCTCCAAAAAAAAAAACATGATTGGTGTTTATTAGGTTAGTTATCAGACTCTCAAGCTAAGAAGTATTAATATTAGCCAGTCAAAGGCATTTAACCTAAATAATCAGGACAAAGTGATTAATTGAAATGGTGGTTTGAAATAACTTTAGATATCTCTTTTTCCAACCCAATTGACCCAACTTTTAGAAACCAAACCAAAAAAATGCTCCTACAGTCTTGAAAAGTTAATTAGCCAGGTTAAGATAAGTTAACCCTGTTTATTTTAACTCAAACCAAATGCATCCGGTCTTGGTTCATTGAATAGCTGAACAGCTTAGGAAGTGGGATTAATCTGAATTGCCTTGTATGGTTTGCATTCTATAGATAACCTTGGGTTTCACTCAGTTTTTTCTTTGCTTCTATTTTTTATATATGTGATATTTTATTTTCAGGTCATCCTACCCTTGTGTTTGTTAGAGGCATCATTTATTATCACAAGTTATGATGCTTCAAGCTTTTTTCTAATTCTTATAGAGCAGTTTTATCACTTGTCATTTGCTATTCATGTTGATCATTCTTCCTACAATTTTTTTCCATTCTATATATTCTATATTTGCCCAGTTGTTGTTTTCTGCAAAATCTGTCCTAGAAAAGATTATAGCTTCATGCTTCTGTTTCTTCCTCATTTTCTCTTGGAGACCATGTTTTTATATTTGGGTTATTGTGAGTGGAGGTTGTTGCAAGTCAAACCCTGGTAAATATTCTCGTCTTTCTGCTGCAAGCAAAGGCTTCTTGGTTTATGAGCCAAATTGAGGCAAATTTGACACTCGCAAAGTTTTTTTCTTTCATTTTATTTGACGTAATTGAGTTACAATATCTCTGTTTCTTATTTTTCAAGGATCTACTGTAAGGAGCTTTACTGCAGTTCGCACAGAAGCAATGCGCACATCTGGTCTTGCTGCAGCTCGATACTTTGCTTCTAGGAAACTTGGACATGTGTCGAGATCTTTTAACAATATTGAACATGGTGAAAAGGAAGACAGCGCTGTAGATGGACAGATAGGCTTGGAAGTAACTGGTGTGAATAAATGGACAAAAAGCAGAATGGAACTGACACCTTTCAGAATCAAAGTTGGTAAGTTAGACTTGGACCATGAAATTGCAAGCTTTGAGAGGTCTACCCAGAACTACTGTAAAGAGGGAATCAAGAGCAGATGCTGCAACATGAGGGTGAAAAGACTGTTCAATGAGTTGTTACCTTCTGAAAAGAATGACAGTATAAGAAAGGATGACAGCATCTTTTCAAAGGTGGACACACCTTATTTGCTCTCAACTGATGATGTTGTTGCAGGATTAAGCTATGTTAATTCTCAAGAACCTAGTATTGTGTCCCAGGCAAATGCATTGGAATCTGTAGATAAGTTTCTTTTAATCAATGATGTGGGGTTATCTCAAGAAACCAAAGATGTTGAAACTGATATTTTGAAGTCGTCTCTTGTTTCTGGTACAAAGAGAGTTCAACTGTTTTCTGAAAAGACAAATTGCAGAAGTCCAGTTGGAAAGTCACAAATTTTTGATTGGAATGATAACCTTGAAGATGATGGAGGAGGTGAATTCTTCAGTAAAAGAAAGGATTCCTTCTTTGAACAAACATGTGGTGCATGGAAGACTCAAAGCCAACACCCGACTAGACATCTCAAATCTGCCATAACCAGAGATGCAGTTGGTAAAAGTGGAGAGGTAGGTACAAACAGAAAATTATTTGATGAAGGAACAGTTCATTCAGATTCAAGGTTAATGATATCCAGTCCTGTAAGAAGTAAAAGGATTTGTATTTCTGAAACAAATATAAGGAAGAATCTTTTCGAAGATACAAAAGCTCAATTGGATGTAACTGAAATCAAAAGAGGTTCAGATGGTATATGTGATGTTGGTCCTGATACTCAAATGGCAGCTGAGGCTATGGAAGCCTTAGTCCATGGATTTCTGATTAATGCAGAAAAGGAGGACACGGGGCATCTTGATGCTGAAAATTTGACTCTGAATTCCAATTCTGCCAGAATTCCAACTATGAACACAGCTTCTTCAAAGAATGTACCACAGGAAAATAGGACTTCTGTTAATGATCCAGAAGTCATTGTGACACGTTCTAAAAGGAGAAAGATGCTCTCTACAAAATCTTGTGAAAACCGAAATGTACCTAGAGTTTCTTCTACTAGTTCAAGAATGAAAAATAGTTTGGTGGATATAATTGCTAAAAGGCAGGCAAAGAGGGGAAAGGGGAAGCCAGATAGGTTGATAAATACCAGGAGTTTGGTTAGCAGACATGATTATTCTAAGTCCACTCTTAATGAAAAGACACAACAGATGGTGGACAGACATTTCGATGAACAACAAAAACAACATAATGACATTTTGGTGGACAGACATCTTGCACATCGTGTTAGGTATTCCAAGAGAGTGAAGATGTTGAAACAGAATAAGGATTTACCTGATTGTCAGAAAGTTCCTAACAAGTTGACGGATGCACATGTTTCTAGAACTGTAGAAGCTGTACATTATATTGTTTCTGACACATCAGAATCAGTGGAGGCCGAAAAAGGTTGTGCTAATGTAGGTTTAAATCTAACCACAGAAGTGAAAAGGCATCCTGCAACTCATACTAAGTTGCTCAATTGTGCATCTCCGGGAGAAGAATTTCAAACTTTATCTTTGACAAAAGATAGTTCTCGCTATCCTAAACGGAGGAGAACAGGTCAGGTTAATTCTGGCAACATGAATGGCGACTTGAATAAAGCATCACCTGTGTCAGGTATTGGTACATCAGAGACAATTGAACGATCCTTCAAACAACAAGGGAAGGAGAAAATCTTCACAAGAAGCATATCAGATATCCTGGATAAGGTTCAGCGGAAAAAGAGAACTGTTTTTACATATAGGTCACTAGAAGCTGCCAGAGAACTTCCGAGTACCAGTGTGGTAAGGATGATATGTGGCATGAAGACAAGATCATCACTTAAACCATCTTCAGACAAGGATACTGAGGAATCGATCAGGACAATTTTGCTTCAATCTGTTATTCCAACTGATGCTGATATTCTTTCTGTTGACCTTCAGAACCACAGTTTGCATGCTGAAAAAGCAGAAAAACACATGTCATCTTCAGAATATGTTGAAAATGCTGAAGAAAATGACAAATCATTTGGGTCATCAGAAGCAAAAGGCCTACCAAATAATTTAGCCTGTACGACACCATCAAAAGAAATGAATGCTGTGTCACCTGTTTTTACATCTCAATATCCTCCAAGATCATGCAATAAAGTTGTATCAACATCTTTAGTTGCTAGAGAACTTCTTAGATTAGATGCTACTGGGGCATCAACTCCTATGATGAAAGATATGCGAAGGCGGAAATATATGGCTGGTGTTCGTGTTTTATTTAGTCATCATTTAGCTGAAAATACTATTAAGCCGCAGAAGAAGGTAAATATGTTGGTATATGCATTTTTTACTTAGATGTACAAATATTGGGTAAAAGCTACCATATGATATTTGATTTCTTTTTTTGTGGTAGATTTTGGCACGCTTAGGACTTCCAACTGCATCTTCAATTTCAGATGCAACTCATTTTGTCACAGACAGGTTTGTTCGCACACAGAACATGTTAGAGGCAATTGCTGTTGGTAAACTTGTGGTTACACCTATGTGGCTTGAAAGTTGTGGACAGGCAGGCTGTTTTATGGATGAGAAAAATTACATACTGAGAGATCTTAAGAAGGAGAGAGAGATAGGTTTCAGTATGCCTGTTTCACTGGCTCGTGCATGCCATTGTCCTCTTTTGCAGGTAATTTCTGGTCATTGTAGGTTTAGATGGCTATAGATCTTTTGTCACTATGATTTGCTACTTAGCTTCTTGATGATGCAGCCAACTAACAGTGACCACTTATCTCATTGTCAAAAAAACTTTGCAGGGTAAAAAAGTGTTTATAACACCAAATGTCAAACCCAATGGAGATCTTGTTTCCAGCTTGGTTAAGGCATCTCGTGGCCAGGTTATTCATCTTTTCTATGCAACATATCCTAAATTTTAAGTCTAGAAATCATATATTCTTTATTTTGGATGTAAGGTTGGGCACATCAATGCTCCAACTTGCATTGGAGAAAGCTTTGTGTGCTAGGCTTCCCTTTTTTTGGTTTTGATCTTTAAATAGGTATATAAGATCTAGGGACTCTGTTGTTGAACTTGTGTAATTATCATTTGCTTGTTGAAGTAATAATGACAGAGTGTCTTGTTAGGCACCTATCTGGTATTCTAAGTTTTGAATTCACTTGAAAAGAATCTCTAATGAGGTCTTTCTTTAGTTCATCCGGAATCCAAACCGCATTGAAACCCAGTAAAAGAATTCCAGAGCAATTTTTTCCTAGTGGTTCTGCCCCTTGATGGGTAACTTTGCTAATTAGACGCAGTATGACTTCTTAAATAACTAGAGAAAGCCTATCAGAAAAACTTGGTCACATAATCCACCTTATATCTCAATTAAAAATTTCTGACCTTCATCAAGTTAAACTTTGCTTCCCTCAAATTAACATGAAACATCACTAAATTGAAACAGATATTCTCTTATAAAGGCCACCATTAATTTTATTGAAGATCTGATCATCAAAAAGTTCCTAGTATAGTTATTTGACTAGTCTAGATATAACATTCGTTGCCACCAACGTGGCTCCAAAAGACTTGATCGATGTCTGAGCTATGTTGGTTAGTTTTGGGTTATTGAGGGCAGTGAGATCCGAAGGCTTCTGAGGCCCACTGTTAAAGCCTCACTGGGCAGTACACAAGGAATTTAAGATGAGAATGCAAGACTCAATATAGAACTCACCTTTGAGAAACTTTTGGGCATGAATATACCTGTGGGTTAATTTTTTTCACTACCAGGACCGTGGAATGATTAGATATAAATATAATCATCTGATTCTTTTAATCTGATTATATATTTGTATGTTAATCAATCACACATACTGAACTGCACATATAAAATGGCTGCTATTTCCAATATAGAAAAATAGGGAAATACAAAATGAGAACCAATTCCTTTGTTTCCCTTTTTGTCCTTTTATTTTGTTTTCTTCATTCTGTATTTTTCACTTTTCTGTAAGAGTCTAGAATGCCTTTCTTTGGACCCTTTCTTTTGCACATACAAGGTTATGTTTGCTGGGCTGTCTAGTTCTCCTATCAGATTATATTTCCTTGGCACCTACCCATTGTCTCATCAGTATCCGTCTTCTGGCAAAATTAATAACTTGGCCATTCTATTAATTCCCATCACCTGTTCTTTTGACTGAATGAGTTTTGATATCATAGAGCCAAAGCAACAGTTATCTTACCTTTAGACACACCCAAGTGTTCAGAATGGGACTCAAATTTGTACCAACCTGGATTCAGTAACACTTTGGAAGAAACAGGTGATGCAATGGCTTTATTAGCTGATCAGTATGCAGATGCTTTATCGGCAAAGAATACTGGTTCCACAAATCAGCTTTTGTTGATCTGAAGGTTTTGTAACTTGTTGATCATCTTATTAAACAGAAAAACAACCCTGAATGTGCTTACCTACAATGAACTCTTCAAATTTAGGGATGCATCACAACATCTCAAGATTTTATGTCTTTGTGTTTGTTGGTAATTGAAGCTGGCTTGTGCTTTGCTGGATTTTGGCTTTGTTTTAGAGATGCTCAGTGTGCCTTATATATACATATTACTACATTTTATCTAGGCTTTCCTAGATTAGGAAATTTTGCAAGTTGTTTCTTGCAAGGATTTTAATTTTGAATGATACCACATGTATCGGGCAGTATGTACCAGTCCGCCCACAGATCGGTATGTGGACCGCTTGCTACCGGGCGGTATCAACCTGGCTGTGGCGAGGGAAAAAGAAGCGTCGAGGGAGAAGAGGGAGAAGGTGCTCGAAGAAGAGGGAGAATCGGGAGAACCTCGATGCATCCCGATCTGGCGTCGCTCTCCCTCGACGATCCCGATCCAGGAGGTAACAGAGAGGCGGCGGCTTGGCTTCTTCGTCGTCGCGTTCTTCGCTGAAGGCTGAAGACGCTTGCGGCCTTCGTCGCGTTGTCACGGACTTAGCTGGTTTTGCCTAAGTCGTGCGACACCCTTGCGTGTCCCTCCGCAAAGGTCAGCCTCTCGAAACCTCCCATGGTCCCTTGGGACCTACAAAAGAGAAAACAGGTTAGAGAAAGCGCTTCACTCGGGATCCACAAGCAAACATTTCAGGAAACACTTCATAGACAATGTAAATTACAAACAGACTTTACAAGCTCTGAACGGTTGCACAATAAAGGGTCAAAATGGTCCACTACAGATCGAATATCTCTCATAAGTGTCCACATGACACAATCTTTATTTACAAGCCTAAAACGACCATAAAACCCAACTTAAATGGGGTTGTTAAGCATTCGACCGTCCCTCTGCATGCTATGCAAAGCATGAACAAACCAAAAGACACGGACATATATAAGTATTACATTAAACATTCTGTTTTGAATTTTGTCCGCGACATCGTTCTTCACCGAAGGCCAAAGACATCTGCGGCCTTCGACGTTTTTATCGAACACCGCAGATGAGGAGAAGACCACGAGAACGCGACGAAGGCTGGAGACATTTGCGGCCTTCGACGTCTTCACCGAACACCGCAAATGAGGAGAAGACCGCGTCTTCTCCTCATCTGACACGACGAGGAGAAAAAAGAGGAGGCAGCGTCGTCGAGGCAGTGTACACCTCCTTTTTTATATTAATTTTTTTTTATATTTTTTATTATATATATATATATATATATATATATATATATATATATATATATATATATATATATATATATATATAGGGTGTACCGCT